CCATGAGGGATTGAGTCCCACAGGCCTGCAGGAAAACGTTGCCTTAAGAGATCTCACGTTCATAAATTCACTGAAGCTGCACAGGTGGGGAAACGGGAGCAGGTTTGACTCAGAATGGCTCCCATGAGGGATTGATTCCACAGTCCTGCAGAAGAACATTGGCTTAAGAGATCCTAAATTCGTAAATTCACCAAAGCTGCACCGGTGGGGAAATGGGGGCAGGGCTGACTCAGAATGGCTCCCATGAGGGATTGAGTCCCACAGTCGTGCAGGAAAACATTGCTTCAAGAGATCCCACATTCATAAATTCACTGAAGCTGCACAGGTGAAAGAAAGGGGATCAGTTCATAACTCAGAACAGCTTCCATGAGGGATTTGTTCCCACAGTCCTGCAGGAAAGCTCTTCCTTAAGAGTCCCAAATTCATAAATTCACTGAAGCTGCACAGGTGGGGAAACGGGGACAGGTCTAACTCAGAATGGCTTCCATGAGGGATTGATTTCCTAAGTCATGCAGGAAAACATTGCCTTAAGAGTTCCTAAATTCGTAAATTCACTGAAGCTGCACAGGTGTGGAAACAGGATCAGGGCTGACTCAGAACAGCTTCCACGAGGGATTGATTCCCGAAGTCCTGCAGGAAAGCTCTTCCTTAAGAGATCCTAAATTGATAAATTCACCAAAGCTGCACAGGTGGGGAAACGGGGGCAGGGCTGACTCAGAACGGCTTCCATGAGGGATTGATTCCCACAGTCCTGCAGGAAAACATTGCTTCAAGAGATCCCACATTCATAAATTCACTGAAGCTGCACTGGTGAAAGAAAGGGGATCAGTTCATGACTTAGAACAGCTTCCATGAGGGATTTGTTCCCACAGTCCTGCAGGAAAGCTCTTCCTTAAGGGGTCCCAAATTCATAATTTCACTGAAGCTGCAAAGGTGGGGAAACGGAGGCAGGGCTAACTCAGAGCAGCTCCCATGAGGGATTGATTCCCTAAGTCATGCAGGAAAACGTTGCCTTAAGAGATCCTAAATTCATAAATTCACTGAAGCTGCACAGGTGAAAAAAGGGATCCATTCCTAATTTAGAGCGTCCTCAAGGATTTTGTTCCCAAAGTCATGAAGCAAAACATTGCCTTAAGAGATCCTAAATTCATAATTTCACTAAAGTTTCACAGGTGAAAAAACAGGCATAAATTTCTAATTAAGAACATCTCTCCATAGGGATTTTATTGCCTAAGTCCTGCAGCAAAACATTGCCTTAAGAGATCCCACATTCATAAATTCACCAAATCTGCACAGGCGAAAGAAAAGAGATCANCATGGGAGGGACAGCCTGGAGCTGCCCGGGGTCCTGGGAAGGTGGGAGTGAGCCTGGGTGTTGTGGGAAGGGAAAATCTGGGAGGTGGAGAGGGATTCCTCCTCAGGAGTTGGAGCATTGGGTCAAACTGAAGTTTAGGTTGGATTTCGGGAAGGAATTCCCAATATGAGGGTGGTGAAAGGGATGGAATGGAATTCCCAGAGAAGCTGTGGCTGCTCCATCCCTTGGAGTGCCCAGAGTCACCTTGGAGCAGTCTGGGGTCATGGTCCTGGAAAGGTGGGAATGATCCTGGATGTTGTGTGGAGAGATCAAGGCATGTCTGGTGTGGGAAGGGAAAATCTGGGAGGTGGAGAGGGATTCCTGCTCAGGAGTTGGAGTCAGCTGAAAAAGTGGAAATTTAGGTTGGATTTTGGGAAGGAATTCCAATATGAGGGTGGTGAAAGGGATGGAATGGAATTCCCAGAGCAGCTCCATCCCTGGAAGTGTCCAAGGTCAGCTTGGAGCAGCCTGGGACAGGGGAAGGTGGTCCTGGAAAGATGGGAATGATTTTGGATCTTGTGTGGAGAGATCACAGCACTTCCAGTGTGGGAAGGGAAAATCTGGGAGGTGGAGAGGGATTCCTCCTCAGGAGTTGGAGTAATAAGGTCAAACTGAAGTTTAGGTTGGATTTCAGGAAGGAGTTCCCAATATGAGGGTGATGAGGGCTGGAATGGAATTCCCTGGAATGGGGGGCTGCTCCATCCCTGGGAGGACCAGCTTGGAGCAGCCTGGGGTGGTAGGAAGTGGTCCTGGAAAGGTGGGAATGATCCTGGGTATTGTGTGGAGAGACCATGGAACTTCCAGTGTGTGAGGGGAATAGATTGGATTTATGGAAGGAATTCCCAGTATGGGAGTGGTGAAAGGCTGGGATGGAATTCCCAGCTGCCCCTGGATCCTTGGAAGTGTCCAAGGTCAGTGTGGAGCAGCCTGGGGTGGTGGGTGGTGGTCCTGGCAAGGTGGGAATAATCCTGGATGTTGTGTGGGAAGGGAAAATCTGGGAATTGGAGAGAGATTCCTCCTCAGGAGTTGGAGTCAGCTGAAAAAGTGGAAATCTAGGTTGGATTTATGGAAGAATTCCCAATATGAGGGTGATGAGGGCTGGAATGGAATTCCAAGAGAAGCTGTGGCTGCTCCATCCCTGGGAGTGTCCAAGGCCAGCTGAGCTCTCTCTGTCTCCCAGGCTGCTGGGCAGGCAGGCTGGGCCTGGCTGATCTCTGTCTTTGTGCCAGGCTGAGCTGGGCCTTGCTGAGCCAGGCCTAGCTGATCTCTCTCCCCAGGCAGGCCGGGCTGAACTGAGCCAGGCTTTGCTGGTCTGTCTCCCCAGGCAGGTTGGGCTGAGCTGGGCCTTGCTGATCTCTCTCCCTCCAGGGCAGGCCGGGCTGAGCCAGGTCTGACTGATCTCTGTCTGTCCCAGGCATCCTGGGCTGAGCTGGGCCTTGCTGAGCCAGGCCTGGCTGAGCTGGGCCTGGCTGATCTCTGTCTCTGTCCCAAGCAGGCTGGGCTGAGCCAAGCTTTGCTGAGCCAGGCTTTGGTGTTCCAGACTTTGGTGAGCCAGGCTTTGCTGGTCTCTCCTCAGGCAGAGCCCTCAGGCCCCCATGCCAGACCTGTGCCTGCCGTGGGATGCGCAGGATGAGCTGCGGCACCGGGCTGATCTGAGCCAGGCCTAGCTCATCTCTCCCTGTCCNTCTTTTCCACGATGTGGAAGAGATGGGGGAAATTAGAGGTGTCCAACACGTCCAAAATAATTCATTTTTGGATCAGGGCCATCCCAGTGATTCCTGATTTTGCCATTGGATTGATGATTTTTATGATCTTCAAGATCTTTTCCAAGCAGAACACCTCCATAATCCTGTGGGAATATTCTTTATCCAGAGTGCAGGAGGCACAGACAGGAAAGCATGAAAGAAATGGGTGAAATTAAAGGTGTCCAATGCATCCCAAAAAATTCATTTTTGGATCAGGACCATCCCAATGATTCCTGATTTTGCTGTTGGATTGATGATCTTCAAGATCTTTTCCAACCAATAACCTCCACAATCCTGTGGGAATATCCATTATCCAGAGTGCAGGAAGCACAGACAGGAAAGCACTAAAGAGTTGGGTGAAATTAGAGGTGTCCAAGCATCCCAAAAATTGCTTTCAGGATCCAAACCATCCCAATAATTCCTGATTTTGCTGTTGGATTGATGATCTTCAAGATCTTNCTCAGAACGGCTTCCATGAGGGATTGAGTCCCACAGGCCTGCAGGAAAACGTTGCCTTAAGAGATCTCACGTTCATAAATTCACTGAAGCTGCACTGGTGGGGAAATGGGGGCAGGTCGAACTCAGAACAGCTTCCATGAGGGATTGATTCTCTAAGTTCTGCAGGAAAACTCTTCCTTAAGAGATCCCACGTCCATAAATTCAGCAGAGCTGCACAGGTGGGGAAACGGGGTCGGGTCTGACTCAGAATGGCTTCTGTGAGGGATTGATTCCCAAAGTCCTGCAGGAAAACTCTTCCTTAAGAGATCTCACGTTCATAAATTGACTGAAGCTGCACAGGTGGGGAAATGGGATCGGGTCTGACTCAGAACAGCTTCCATGAGGGATTGATCCCCAAAGTCCTGCAGGAAAGCTCTTCCTTAAGAGACCCTAAATTGATAAATTCACCAAAGCTGCACAGGTGGGGAAACGGGGGCATGCTGACTCAGAATGGCTTCCATGAGGGATTGATTCTCTAAGTTCTGCAGAAAAACATTTCCTTAAGAGATCCCACATTCATAAATTCACTGAAGCTGCACTGGTGGGGAAGCAGGATCAGGGCTGACTCAGAATGGCTCCCATGAGGGATTGAGTCCCACAGTCCTGCAGGAAAACTCTTCCTTAAGAGATCTCGCGTTCATAAATTGACTGAAGCTGCACAGGTGGGGAAATGGGATCGGGTCTGACTCAGAACAGCTTCCAGGAGGGATTGATCCCCAAAGTCCTGCAGGAAAGCTCTTCCTTAAGAGACTCTAAATTGATAAATTCACCAAAGCTGCACAGGTGGGGAAATGGGGGCAGGGCTGACTCAGAATGGCTTCCATGAGGGATTGATTCCACAGTCCTGCAGAAGAACATTGGCTTAAGAGATCCTAAATTCATAAATTCACTGAAGCTGCACAGGTGGGGAAACGGGGACAGGGCTGACTCAGAACATCTTCCATGAGGGATTGAGTCCCACAGTCCTGCAGGAAAACATTGCTTCAAGAGATCCTAAATTCATAAATTCACTGAAGCTGCACAGGTGGGGAAACGGGGGCAGGTCTGACTCAGAATGGCACCCATGAGGGATTGATTCCCTAAGTTCTACAGAAAAACGTTGCCTTAAGAGATCCCACATTCATAAATTCACTGAAGCTGCACAGGTGAAAGAAAGGGGATCAGTTCATGACTTAGAACAGCTTCCATGAGGGATTNGGATCAGGACCATCCCAATGATTCCTGATTTTGCTGTTGGATTGATGATCTTCAAGATCTTTTCCAACCAATAACCTCCACAATCCTGTGGGAATATCCATTATCCAGAGTGCAGGAAGCACAGACAGGAAAGCACTAAAGAAATGGGTGAAATTAGAGGTGTCCAAGACATCCCAAAAAATTCATTTTAGGATTAGGACCATCCCAATAATTCCTGATTTTGCTGTTGGATTGATGATCTTCAAGGTCTTTTCCAACCAATAACCTCCACAATCCTGTGGGAATATCCATTATCCAGAGTGCAGGAAGCACAGACAGGAAAGCACTAAAGAGTTGGGTGAAATTAGAGGTGTCCAAGCATCCCAAAAATTGCTTTCAGGATCCAAACCATCCCAATAATTCCTGATTTTGCTGTTGGATTGATGATCTTCAAGATCTTTTCCAACCACGTCACCTCCATGATCCCATGGAACCATCCTTTATCCAGAGTGCAGGACACACAGACAGGAGAGGAAAGCACTAAAGAGATGGGTGAGGGGTGAACCTAAAGGTGTCCAAAATATCCCAAAAAATTCATTTTGGGATCAGGACCATCGCAGTGATCCCTGATTTTGCTGTTGGATTGATGGATCTTCAAGATCTTCAAGATCTTTTCCAAGCAGAACACCTCTATGATCCCATGGGAATATTCTTTATCCAGAGTGCAGGACACACAGACAGGAGAGGAAAGCACTAAAGAGATGGGTGAAATTAATGGTGTCCAAGGCATCCCAAAAAATTCATTTTGGGATCAGGGCCATCCCAGTGATCCCTGATTTTACTGGATCAGGGTGCAGCAACCACAGACAGAAAAGCATGAAAGAGTTGGGTGAAATTAGAGGTGTCCAAGACATCCCAAAAATTGCTTTTAGGATCCGAACCATCCCAATGATTCCTGATTTTGCTGTTGGATTGATGATCTTCAAGATCTTCAAGATCTTTTCCTCCACGATGCCATGGGATTATCCTTTATGCAGAGTGCAGGAAGCAGAGTTGGGTGTGGGGTGAAATTAGAGGTGTCCAAAATATCCCAAAAAATTCATTTTAGGATCAGGACCATCCCAATGATTCCTGATTTTACTGGATCAGGGTGCAGCAACCACAGACAGGAAAACATGAAAGAAATGGGTGAAATCAAAGCTGTCCAAGGCATCAAAAAAAATTCATTTTTGGATCAGGACCATCCCAATGATTCCTGATTTTGCTGTTGGATTGATGATCTTCAAGATCTTTTCCTTCACGATCCCATGGGAATATCCTTTATCCAGAGTGCAGGGAGCACAGAGTTGGGAGATGGGTGAGATTAATGGTGTCCAAGACATCCCAAAAATTTCTTTTAGGATCCGAACCATCCCAATGATTCCTGATTTTACTGGATCAGGGTGCAGCAACCACAGACAGAAAAGCATGAAAGAGATGGGTGAAATTAGAGGTGTCCAAGACATCCCAAAAATTTCTTTTAGGATCCGAATCATCCCAATGATTCCTGATTTTGCTGTTGAATTGATGATCTTCAGGATCGTCCAGATCTTTTCCAACCAATAACCTCCACAATCCTGTGGGAATATCCATTATCCAGAGTGCAGGAAGCAGAGACAGAAGAAGAAAGCCCTAAAGAAATGGCTGATGGGTGAACTTAAAGATGTCCAAGACATCCAAAAAATTAATTTTCGCCTCAGAACCGTCCAAATGATTCCTGATTTTGCTGCTGCAGGAGGAGGTGGCCAAGAGCCTGCTGGCCGAGGTGAACCTGGGCTGTGACGCGCACCAGACGGAGCACGTGTACCGCGTGTACGTGGCCACCTTCCT